TCTTGGTGTAGAAATTCCACACAGAATGTGTATATTTTGAAGGAAAAGTGAAGCCCTCCTATTGCTCCACTCTGAGTATCACCACCAGTCTCATTTTCTTCCCTTGGGGTTAACTTTCTCTATTTTAATGGAAACACTGTTTTAGGCTAAGTCAATGCTGGTGTAATGCACAGTGATATTTTCAGACCAAAATAACTGTAAAGTATTTAGAGACAGAACAGCAATAGCGGATGGAAAGAGAATTAAAAATAATTTAGGAGCCAGGCATGGTGGCACATGTCTGTAATCCCAGCACTTGGGAGGCTGAGACAGGATTGCCCTCTTGAGCTAATAGTGAGTTCAAAGCCAGCCTCAACTGCATGGCAAGACTCTATCTCAAAAAACAATAATAATAATTTAGGGCAGTATAGCTTTTAAGCTTATACTAATTGCAAAGTTTTTAATTATAAAAATTTAACATACTAAACTTAAAATAACTTTACTCTTTTTAGGGAACATTACTACAGCAATCAGATGACCGTGCGGCTACTACATCACTTTCTTGGAAACGCGTGAAAGGATGCAAATCTAGTGAACAGAATGGAACGGAGCAAAAGACAATTATTTTAATACCCTCTGGTTAGTTTATTCTTTCTCTCCTTTGAACATCACAAGGATAATTAAAATGTGAAACTTTTTTGTGTAGGAGCTTTACCCCAAGTGAGAGTGATTTTTGGTTCTTAGCAAGATTAAAAAGAATAGAAGCGTTTCATCTACTGGCCATGATACACCAATAGATATGTCAAGATGGAACTTTCATGTGTAATTCTCTTATATCTATATCTGTGTGCTATCAGTATTGATAAAAGCTGAAACTTTAACGTTGATTCATGACTTTGTACCTTCATTGTCTCCTGTTAACATTTCTGACACAGTGCCAATAACACGTGATTGCACCCACTGCTGACATAGCTGTCTGGTTTCTGCTCGCCCAATTACCTAGCAGAGAGTGGGTGTTTAGTAAATTTGATGAATACGTAGGTGTCTCTTTATTTTTCAGATTTAGCATGTAGACTGCTGGGGCAATCAATGGATGAAAGTGGATTACCACAGCTGACCAGTTACGATTGTGAAGTTAATGCTCCCATTCAAGGCAGCAGAAACCTACTGCAAGGTGAAGAATTACTCAGAGCTTTGGATCAAGTTAACTGAGCATTCTCATAATCTCATTCCTTTCATTTGTTTGGTTTTTGTCCTACCCCCCCCCCCCTTTGGACACTGGTGGCTCATTACCTAAAGCAGTCTATTTATATTTTCTATATCTAATTTTAGAAGCCTGGCTACAATACTGCACCAACTTGGATAGTTCAATTTTGATCCCCTTTCTACTTAATTTACATTAATGCTCTTTTTTAATATGTTCTTTAATGCAAGATCATAGAAAGCACACTTTCGCAGCTTTTTGGTATTTAAACCATGACAGTAGCATCATTTAAAAATGCACCTTTTTATTTATTTATTTTTGGCTAGGGAGTTTGTCCCTTACTGAAGATTTGTTTTTAATAAGATGCCAATATAATTTTTTAAGAAGGCAGTAACCTTTCATCATGATCATAGGCAGTTGAAAAATTTTTACTCATTTTTTTTCACATTTTACATAAATAATAATGCTTTGCCAGCAGTATATGGTAGCCACAATTGCACAATATATTTTCTTAAAAAATATGTACCAGCAGTTACTCATGCAATATATTCTGCATTTATAAAACTAGTTTTTAAGAGGAAATTTTTTTTGGCCTATGAAAGTGTTAAACCTAGAACATGACATTGTTCATCTTATAATAATGATTCTTAAATGCTGTATGGTTTATTATTTAAATGGGAAAGCCATTTACAGGATATAGAAAGATATACATATATCTGGAAGGTAAATGGCATTTATTTGGATAAAATTCTCAATTCAGAGAAATCATCTGATGTTTCTGTAGTTACTTTTCCAGCTCAAAAAGAAAACAATACCCTATGTAGTTGTGGAATTTTATGCTAATATTGTGTAATTGATATTAAACCTCAATGTTTTGCCTACCCTGTTGGTATAAAAATATTTTGAGCAGACTGTAAACAAGAAAAAATAATGAATTTTTAGTAAAATCACCTAGTATGTTAATTTGCTCAAAATATGTTTGGTTTTATGCACTTTGTCGCTATTAACATCCCTTTTTCCTATAGGTTTCAATAATTGAGTAATTTTAGAAACATTATTTTAGGAATATATAGTTGTCATAGTAAACATCTTGTTTTTTTCTATGTACATTGTACAAATTTTTCATTCCTTTGCTCTTTGTGGTTGGGTCTAACACTAATTATTGTTTTGTTATATCAAATAAACATCTTCTGTGGACCAGGCCCCTTTTGATCAGCTTTATAGTTTAAATATCACCTCATAAAGTTGTTTCCCAGCAATTTAAGTACTTTATGAAAATCACATTGTGTACATTTCTACATTTCTCTTACTGCCATCACCTTAATGTATGCTGTTCCTAAATGTCATGTTAAATGATTAAAACATGATACTGCATTGTAAAGAGTATGTTTTTAGAAGATACTTGTCATTTATAAATTTATGACCCTATTAAAGCATAAAACGAAAAATGATTATTTTTAGTATGAATGGAATGAGTGAAGCAAATCATGAACAATATAATCACATAATATCATAAGGGTAGAAGTTCCTCTCAAGATTTCTAATCTATTCCCATTAAGAAATGAACAAATTTAGCCTTGAAATGATTTTTTCCAATCCCTGAAAGTAATAAATGGCAGACCAAAGATTTAACTTAGGTCTTCTGACTTAACATTAAACTTAGGAAAAGCCCTTTTTTTGGTCTGGTTTTGATACTGTTTTTTTAAAGAAATTAAAATAGCTTTATTCTATTTCTCATTTAAAAAAAACACACCACCATATAAAGCTATAAAAATAAATGGAAAAACCACAGTGAATCCCTGCACTTAGAGGTAACAAACACTTTGTGGTGGTGGTAGCTAGGAATCAAACCCAGGGCCCTGTATGGACTAGCAAGCACTTACCACTGAGCCACACCTCCAGCCCCAGACAAATACTAGTGACCAATTACATAGGCAGTACCAGAGCCTCAGGTTATGTTGACTAGTAACCTGAACAATATAAACTAAGCTACAGATCTCTTAGAATAGGTGTGTTTTAGCTTAGCATTATCATGTGATCACTTGATAATTCTGGAACAAAAACAATACTAATTTTTAATCTGAAATTTGGGGGGCACAGACCTTATCAAAAACGGTATGAATCAAAGTACCTCCACATTCAGTAACAGATACTTCTAGAGGTGGCATTTATAGAATAAAGTAGTTGCTTAATAGTACCAGGTTGCAAAATAAAAAATCCTTATTTAGCAAATTAGCTTCAGTTGAAAACTAGAAGTTTGTGTGTAGTTCTCAAATATTAGTAAATGGCCAGATTGTGTAATGGCCAGGAGTCTGGGCAATTATTAGAGAGCAGTGACTTAGAAGGGAAAGCCATATTGAAGGACAGGAGATGAGGAAGAAAAGCAAGTACCAACTAACTGCTCTATCACTCAGAAAACAAGGCATTCTTCCCAGCACTGGGCACCACCACAAATCTATAATGCCTTTAGCCAAGGAATTTTGTAATAGCTGTGCTCTCCTTCATATTCCTCTCTTCCCAATGTATGCTTAACTTCCCTCTTCCCTGGTGCTGCTATTAATGAATGACTAGTATTACTTTCACCCTTAAGAACATAGAGCAAAAATGCTTAGCATATTTTGTTCATTTGTTCAAAGCACCTGTTAAGCTCAGAGCTGAAAATAGTTACTGAGAGAGCCTGCCACTGCGAGGTACAATGTTCATAGACTAAATGTTAAAATCTTAACTAACATCTATTTAGTAGTACATACTGGACGTGCTAAGCAATTCTGCCTATTATCTCATAATGTCAACACCCCTTCCCCATGAATTAGTTCACTTCATTTTGTACATCTGAAAGTCTTGGAGAGCTTTTGAGTTGGCCACCAGTGAGTCCAAAGTCCCATAGTGCAGCACTAGCCATTCCACTAAAACTTCGTTTACCTACTGTTACCTGTTCAGCAAGAAAAGGCAATGGAGATGAACAAAACAGGACCAAATAATGAGGCCACACAGGACATCGAGGGGATATCCTAAAAGGAGTGGCAGGTCATAAACAGCAATGAGTTAAGTTTTTGAAGAGCTATTTGATAGGTTTTGAGTTTGAAGTAGGGATTAAGATCGATAATTATGGAGACACTAACTCAGGCAAAGGAGGTAGTGTATGCGAATAGACTTGAACTATAAACGGCTCTGAAACTACAGTGTGGTTTCTGAGCTATTAGCCTTAATGGCATAGTAGGTATGTTTAAATTGGTATAACTTCACAGTCATTTTTTTCAAAACTTGATTTCCTCCTACAAACCTCTAAAGAGGTTTGAAAGATAGTTACTTTGAGGAAACAAATATTCTAAAAGTCCAAGTTTGTAAAGCCAACTGTGTCCAAAACTTGCAAATATAGATTTTTGAACTTTAGAATCCAGTTAAATAAAACCATTGCAAACACTGCTAGGTGACGGACCAGGGATTTAGCTCAGTGGTTACGCCGCCTGGCTTGAAAGCTCAAGGACCTGAGTTCGATCTCCGGTGCCCTCTTCCCCAAAAAATCTCAGAACACTCCTAGCTGGAAGACAAATTTTAAAAGTAAAACAAAATCTTTGGAGGGGGGCTGTTTAACTCTGCCTCTAACCATTTGCTTGTATTTCTTCCTTATAAATAGCGCTGAACCAGCTGTCGCGTATCTGTTTCACAGAAAATTGTTACAATCTTGTAGTTTGGTACATGGTCTCCTCCAGAGAAGAAAGCAATGCCTCACCACAAACATTCCTATGAACGCCTCCTGGAGCTTTGTTTTGTTCGCACCTTTCAGCGATCCGAACACAAGTTTTATTAGTCTTACCTGTCAGGGATGATTTTTATCCAAGACGCTGCCCAGACACCCGATCTCCGTGTACTATTTAATTTCCTTTATTCTCTTGTCTTGGCTCCATTCCGGGACGGAGAGGAAAACAGGTGCCTGAGAGCGGCCTCGGTCGGACCCGCAAACCCACGGGCAGGACCCGGCTCCCCTCCTGCTCCGGCCGACAGGTCCTGCAAGAAAAGGATGCGAAACCCGAGCTGTGAAGAACTTCCCGAGTCCCGCCCGCCGCGCTGCAGGCCACGCCCCGGTACGTGCTCGGGCGCAGCTCCCCAGGGCCGGCCCGGCCCGCGGCCCACGGCCCCCACCCCCGCCCCGGGCCCGGGGCTGCGGCCAGCGTGTGGCCGCCCGCGGCTCCCGCCTACGTGTGCGAGCGCATGTGCGAGGCGCAGGGCGGGAATGGGGGGCGGTGCCCCTTTGTCTCCGGCGATGAGTAAGTGTGATCCTAGCGGTCCCTCAACTTTATGATGCTGTTGCACGGTAAACTGACCTTGGTGGAAACATTTCTGAGGTCTAAGAACATTATATCTATTTTTTTAATTAGTCTCATCTAATCATCTAGTTAAAACAGTTACTAATTTAAATGTAGCCCTCTTAAGGTAAAGACAGTTTATTTTAAATAACACACTTTGAGATATGCTAATTAAGTATATACGGATTTCTTCTACCAGATTGGTTGGACTTTTTTTTTTTTTTGCTTGGTTTTCGAATTTATTGTCTGCCAGCTATTAAGAATCCTTTGGGAGACAATCATGTTGGACAGAAGGGCCGTGAGTTTTCGGAATATGGAGACGCCTGGGGCCAAAAATTTAATCTCCTATAGTCTTAGCTTAAAATGGCCTCACTTTCTGCCAAGTGCAAAGGCGAGCATTGTTTACAACAGACCTCACCTTACAGGGATTGATTGCGCTTCTCCTGTCCCTCTCACAGGTGTTGCTCCTGCAGACCCTCCCTAATCAGACCCCTGCCTTAGTCCAAGAATCCACTTTCAAGGGAACCGAAACTTCGAGGACGCTTTGTCCTCATTATTACCTTTGCTTTTGCACAGGATTAGGTTTCGGTTATGAAAATTTCCAGATGAAAAGGGCTGTGCCAATCTGGATCTAGGTGACAGGTGACCTCTAAGACTCTGGTTTCTGAGGCTGAGTGATACCATTCCGTATGGGATTAAGGAGGAGCTTTTGGAAGATGCCCGAGGAGTTTGTTGTCCCCGGGTTTGGCCTCTAGCTATTCTTTAATCTCTCCTCTGCGAGCCCAAGCAGCTTGCCCCTCCCTCAGTTCTTGCTTGGGCTTCCTCCACTTCCTCTCATCTGCCCCATCCCTGCCACAGTACACTGTTGCCAAACTATTTTAAAACAAAACTGAGGATGTTATTTCTACATTTGGCATCCTCTCGGGGGAACAGGCTAATGAATGTAAAACTGGCTCCCTCGAGTTGGAATGCCAGAGGGCTTCCTAGAGTTCATTCCTACATCTTTTGTGATGATTTATAACAAGTACGATCACTTTGGTTAATGGTTACTTAAATTCAGTAGCTATTGATTATCTTCCTATGAGAGTTCCAATGCTTATTATGTATGTGATGCGGAGGAAAAAACTGTGAGGAATCTGCAAGATATATAGTATATTAATAATGTGTTTTTTTCTGCTGGTGTTTCACAGATGACACATTTCCCATATTTTTCATGAGACAGGGTCTATGTAGTTTAGTCTGGTCTTGAACTTACGATGCAGCTCAGGCTGGCCTCGACCTCCCAAGTGTTGGGATCACAAGTGTGTACCCCCACACCTGGCTTCTCGTGGAACATACTGTGTAATTTCCCATGCACCAGTTCTACACACACTGTATGATAAAGTCCAGATATTCACCTGTAAGTACAGTAGGGTTTGTACCTTGGGGCAGAAACCCTGTAATTATGAATCTTGGAGCTTATATGTTGCAACTGGGATATCTGCCCATACTCCTCACCAGAGAACATTGCTATGAAATGTGTTTACATTTTCTCTGCTGAGAGAGAGACAGCACACGTGTGCACGCCATAAGAACGAAGAAGTCAGAAGCTGTACCCAGAGGAACTGACTTTATCTGGAACAGAGGCTGGGAAAATTGAAACCTAAAGTGCTCTTGAAAACCATGGACGTTTGGATGATGAGCAAATAAGAGGCCGGTAGCTTCCTAAGAGCAACGCGCTAACTGCAGACCAGCTAGTTTACCAGTGAGAATCAGAGAAGAGCAGTAATGGGATGAGAACATACCTGAAAGCTGAACTAAAAACCTACCTCTTCAAAGGACTAGACTTCAGAGCAATTTATGTCTTAGGGTGTTGTCAAAATAATAGAGCAATTAGCTAGCAGTTAGCAGTTGCTAACAGCTGGGTGTGATACCAAAGGAGGCAAGCAGTTAGATGGAGAGATCAAGAAAAGAGATAATGAGCATGCTAGAACCATTATCAACCCACAGTGACAGCAGGGCCAAGGCTGCTGTCAAGGGAGCAGTATCAGAACTGTCATACCAAGGGAAATGGACTTCACCAAAACAATCCTGCCAGCTCATAAACAGGTAAGGAAAAACAAGTGTGACAGTTAAGCTTGATAGTCAATTGGACTGGCTTGAGAGCCACCTAAGATTAGTAAAGCATGGGACCTCTGGGCGTGTCTGGACAGGTCATAGAGGTGTGACTGGATACTGCAGTAGTCGGCTTTCCCATTGCTGACATTAGAATTTAAAGCAGAAGTTTAATTTGGCTCATGTTTTAAGGGAATCCAGTCCTTTGCTGGGTCCCAGACAGAAACATAATGAGAGAAGGCCATAGTAGAACTAGGCTGCTTAGTTCATGGAGAGCAGAAGGCAAAGAAGGGGGACAGTGCCAGCAAGAAAGGTATCTTAGTCACTTCCTTCTTGCTGGAATAAAATACTTGACACCCACAACCCAAAGGAGCATAGGTTCATTTTGGCTCACTGTCTCAGAAGTTTCAATTCATGGCTGGCCAACTCCAACGCAGAAACTGCATGGTATAAGGGCCAGGCAGAGGGAGACTGCTCACGTCATGGCAGCCAGGAAGCAGAAAGCACAAAGAAATGAGCCAGGGAAGGAGACAGACCCTTCTAAGTCGTGTTCTCAGATATCCAGTTCTAACCAGGCCCCACCTCCTATTGGTATACTCAGCAGCTGAACTCATTAGTGGGTGAATCCACTGATGAGTATAGCATCCCCATGATCCCATCACCTTCCAAAAGCCCTGCCTCTGAATGCATGAGACTTTTGGGAGACAATCTAAATCTAAACCATAACAGAAGGAGTGAGGGACCAGACATAGATCTCAAGGCCATGCCACCATGACCCACCCAGGCACACCTTGAAGTGTGTACTACCAATTCCTGGGGCAGATCCCAAAGGCAATCAAGTTGATACTGTAACCACCACAGATACCATTTCTTGTCTATCCTTGTCCTCTTCCTCTTTGGCACTGTTCTCCTGCTGTGCTTCCTACCTGTCGTGAACTGAACAGTTTCATTCCACCACAATGTTTCTGCCCTGGAGCCAGCTGATCATGGACTAACCCTCTAAAACCATGTACAAAATTAAACCTCTTCCTTTAAGTTCCAGGTGTGAGGTAGTGTAGTTTGTCCCAGCCATGGGAAAACTAATACAAAAAGTTGGTACTGAGAAGTGAGGTCATTGCTGTGACTATACCTGATCATATGGTTCAAAAACCTTTGGAATGGTTTGTAGGAGAAATTTGGAAAGCGTTGAAGATGTAGGCTAGAGAAGCCCTAGATTTCTGTAATCAGAGCTTGATGGGCAATTCTGGTGGGAGCTCAGAAGACCAGAATGCTGATAGGAATGTGGACAATAAAGCCTCATATGATTACAGATTGGAATGAAGACTATATATTGAAAATAAGATTAGAGGTTGTGTATGTTACACTCTAGAAAATGAAGCTGAATTTAAAGGTGGTGGACTAACTGATCTACGGAGTGTTATGGTTTAGAAATCAGATGTCCCCCAAGAGTCTCATGTGCTCACAGGTAGGGCTTGTGGAATGTGGGGCCTGGCCAGAAGAGGCAGGTCACTGGAGGCATGACCTGGGATGGTATATTGCTCTTCCCTGCTTCACTCTTACTTCCTGTCATACATTAGACAAGTAAATTTCCTCTAGATGTACCCTTTCACCATGCTGCCTACCATGCAAGGACTGAATCTTCTAAAACAGGAGCCAAAATAAACCTCTCCTTGTTAAGTTGCTGCTATTGGGAATTTTGTCCGAGCCATAAGGAAAGTGACTAAGATAGGTTGGAAATCTCAAGGCAACTCAACATTCAGACTGTGGCATGATTACTGCTGGCTTCTTTTAGCCAGATGTGTAGTGAGAATTGGAAGTGAAAAACAAGAGCAGAAAATTTGAAAAACTTCAATTTTGGCCCAGAAGGGACCACTTGTAAAGTTGGAGCCAAAGAAGCTGTGATTGCTAAAGATTTGTGTTATTAAAAAGAAACATGGGCTGGGGATTTAGCTCAGTGGTTCCGGCGCCTGCCTCGAAAGCGTTAAGGTCCTGAGTTTGATCCCCAGTACCAAAAAAGAAACAACATACTTTGAACTGGGAGAAGAAAGATGCCTTCTGTCTCAGAAATCAGCAAGACCGCACACACTGCAGGCTCAATGGTGCAAAAATATAAACATTTTCTTTGAGAAAAATATATCCTGGTCCCTCTACTACAGAAGGGCTACCTAGGGAATTTGTTTCCTGAGATTCATTTCACCATGCTCAGCTATCTAGGACCTCAGAGGTTATCTGAAGCCATGGTCCAAGGGGGTCCAGCTATTGCTTATGCTGGAAGCAGATCTTGGCATTGTCTATGTGATACTGTTTTTTTAGGCATATAGATAGATGCAAGAGTTGTGAGGTCAGGGAGGCTTCTACCAAGATTTGCCTGGAAGGCCCAAAAGGCCAGGCATTGTGCCCCTGAGAGGGTGGAGTGTGAAGCTTGCAAATGAAGCTGAAATTGCAGTAGAGACCACAGGAAGTCAGAAATGCTAAAAACATGGGATGTCTGCCAAGGAAAGCTATAGGCTTTGAGAGGAGCCAGACCAAAAGAGAGGCCATACAGGTGGAACTAACTGAGCCCTTTGCAACTCACATCTTACTACCACGCACCCTGGATGCCAAATA